ATGTGCACACACCATCAGTGTGTGTGTGTGTGCATGTGTGTGCGAACCATCATGCTTCACATCACCCACACACCACCCACACAACTGCAACTCAAGAAGCGCTGCTGCTGGTTGCTTGCTCGCTTGTTGTTGGTGCGTGTTGGTTGTTGTTTTGGGTTTGTTCGTGCTGTCCTTCCGATCGCCGTTTTGTGAAAATCTTCAAGCAATCCTCCACAACCGCACCGGCAAAACAAGAGCGGAAGAAGACCTTGTTCTCCTCGCTTGGCTTGACTGGATTGGCTGGCTTGGTGTCTCTTCACCCTTCCACCATCCCACCTCCGCGTCTCCAACGTTCCCCTAACGCCTTCACTGGGCTCGCTCGCTCGCTCGCTGAATCGCTGTCTCCCGCACGAACCGCGCACCATGCCCGTCAATCATGCCTTGACTTTTGAAATTGCGAGCGAGTGTCCAATTAGAGTGTTGTACTTGTGCCAGCACACGTGCTGTCGAACATCACGGCAGAATACGCTCATCTGTTGGCAGAACAAGGAAGCCTTCATGCGCACGTCCCGCAAAGTGTCGTGCTCTTTGTGTCTGCTTTGCGGCTCGGGCGTCTGCTGCCTCCTGCCGTTGGCGTTGCGCTCGCATGTTCGCGTGGTGTTCCCTCCTTGCGCTGGCGTTCAACGGGCAGGGTGAATGGGTTGTTAGTGGGATAATCATACAAGTCAACCAACCACAAAGGAGCAATGATAACACACAGACAGACTTACAGACAGGCAGGCGGACAGGCAGGGAGACGGCAGGAAGGCAGGTAGGCAGACAAGCAGTCAAATACACATCCAGGCATGCATGCATTGTCACAAACGCAGTCTCGCTATCGCCACTCCTCCACTGGTAAAGAACTCACTGCGTTCGCCGTGCAGCAGCAAGGGCGCGCGCCTCGAGGGTCCGATAGCCCTGAACAGTGCCTTGGTGGATAATCTTCTTTTCTTCATTGCGCTGGGCCACCTTCTGCTCACGTGCCTCTTGGCGTCTGTCCCCAGAATCAGCAGCGCGTCAGGGAACACAGCAGTGAACACAGCAGATACAAAGGAGGTGCAAACGTGTGTTGGTAGCATTTATGCTCACTGCGCGCATGTCACACATGCAAAAAAAAAAAAGACATTGTTCTGACCTTGCTTCGTTCTCGCGAAGTGTGTGCAAAGCATCGTGTCGCGCACGTGCCTGTGCCTGCTTGGTCTGGTGCTGTGCAGCCTTTCTATCAGCGTGGGCGGCTCGCTGAGCTTCCTGTGAAGTTGGACCAGACACGCGAAAGGTGTGCATGCATGTGGTGGTGGCGTGGTGAGGTGTATCACGTGGCGCCACACGCTGGCAATTTAAACAGCAGCAACAACAACAACTTAAACAACAACGACAACAACAACTTAAACAACAACTTCAAACAACAACAGTCACAGCTCCAGCCCTACGCCATGAGCAATGTATTGCAGCGCGTTTTCATGAACACACCAGCCTCGCTTGGCGTTCTGCGTTTTGGCGTTGGCGGGCACGCAGAGTCATTGACTTCTTGGCCTCATCCTCCTGCCGACGTGCTTCCACTCTCTGTTGCCTCTCCATCTGCTGCAGCCGCCGCGTGTGGCGCTTGGTCTCCTCCTCGTCCTCCACAGACCGCCCGTATCCGAGCGTCTCCGTGAGCGAATCTGCGGGTTGGAGGAGAGGTGAGACGACGACAACGTGCGTGCGCCACAAAGTCAAACCGAATGCAATCGGCACTGCACACACACACACACACACATGCAGGGAGAGAGAGAAAAAAAAAAACGCGGACAAACACACGCGTACACAGACAGACACAAACACAAACACACACACACGCTGTCTGACCTCCTTGGGCAATGGAGGCCACGAGTGCGCCTTTGTCGCGCCTCTGTACATCGATCACGCCGTGATTGGCCGCTGTCATTGCTTCCCACTCCCTTCGTTCTGACAGCTCCACCCTGCGCGTCAGCTCTCGTGCCTGCCGCGTTGACTGTCGCAGATTTGCGCGCGCCACATGTGCTTGTCGCGTGTTCTCTTCTTGCTCAAGCCTGGCACCAGTTGCGAAGTGAGTGTGAGTGTGGGTGCGTGTGCGTTTGCATGTGTGAGTGTGTGCACGGAGTCTGTGTCAGTGGCGCTGTAGCATGACACATTACCACATCGTGACAGCACGATACTTGCACGGCTTTTCTGTGTGCATAATGCGGCTCCAGTACGACCAACCTCCTGCGTGTACGCGCTTGTGCTGCCTCGTCAACAATCTGTTGTCGTGCAACCGCTGTGGGGGCGCAGTGCATGATCAGAAGGACGTGAGCGCGTGTTGTCGAGAAACACAGCGCCTGCAGCAAAGGTTATGCACACAAGTCCACACACACACACACATACACACACGCACGCACGCACACACACACACATACACACACGCACGCACACATACACACACAACCCACTGTGTGATGCAATTTGGCGATGGTGGTGGTGGCGCGCCTCAGCCTCTTGTCTGCGTCGGGAAATTCGAATTCTGTCCTTCTCTTCGGCTTCCACCTGACGCATCACTGCATCCACGCTTCGCTGCAGCACTCTATCATCGCGATGTGAACATGTGAACGTGTGTATGCGTGTATGTTCGTTGTGGGTGGACGTGCAGCGGGTGAGGGCATGTGTCCGGAACGGCCACCCATCCCTATCTCTCTGCCTATGTCTCTGTCTCTCTCAAACACGTGCGCACGTGCGTCTGGTGGTGCCATTACAGTGGACAGAGGCAGAAGCACGTACTCTTGTCGGCGTTGCTCAAGTCGCATTGTTTCTTGCTCTGCCCGGTTGTCCTGAATCTCTTGCAACTTCTCTTGCCTGCGGGCAATGGCAAACGCCATGGAAGTGTAAGTAAGTCGCGACACATCACAACCGCGTCAGCACTGCAAGCAGCAGCAGCAACAAGCACATACACACACGCACACACACGCACACACACACACACACACACACACACACACACACACACACACACACACACACACACACACACACACACACACGCACGCACGCACGCACGCACACACGAACCTCTTTCTTCGTTCCTGCCTGCACTTTCGCTCGGAGTACTCAACCTGTCTTCTGTCTTCCTTCTGGCGTTCCCACGCCCGCCGCTCTCTCTGCTCCCGCGCAGACGAACGCATACGCGCGCGGGTTCGTGCGCCCTCTTCTTCGGCCACCTGCCGCGTACGGGTGGCGCAGGAGTTGTGCATGCACGTGAGGGCAGTTGCGGATTGAACACCAGAACAGGACACGCACAGCTTTGCAGTCCGTTATCTCAATCACCCGCGCGAATCACAACGGCCCCCTCCCGCACACCACCGCACACACACACACACACACACACACACACACACACACACACACACACACACACACACACACACACACACACACACACACACACACACACACACACACACACACACACAC